CGCCTCGGACACACAAGCATGTGGTTTGATTGGCTAGAGCTTGTACTGGCATACGATTCGATTGGTTGAACATTGCTCAACTTTTGCAGCGAGCAACGCTTTTGAAGCTACGCTTAGCTCCCACAATGCAGTTTGGCGAAGCGTGACGTCACCCCATTCAAAGTGAATGGGCAGAAGCGTTGAAGCTTGTGGAGCCTCTCGGTAGTTCACTTTCTACCAGTGTCAACTTTGGAAAGTGAACTGATGAAATGTGTTTCCGTCAATGTTATTAACATCTACCTATTCTAATGGGACGGAGGGTTATTTAGAGTTTTGAGTTATCATTTTTTGGCAGCAACTGAAATATTATTGACATCCACCTGGATTCAACTTTTATTTTATAAATATTAACATTATTATATTTGGATTGCCTACGTTTTTAATGTATTGTATTTTTAATCTGTTTTAATGTAATCCTTCTATGTGGCTCTCCCCAAGGTTTATATATTTTTTATAATTATTATTACACTAAAACATTATTATTTAAATTATTATTGTTTTGATTTATTTGTATAATGATTCAAATTCTAATTAATAGTGCTTTATTTATTTATGTTATACTTTAATCACTTTTCTATTGTATTTATTCATTTTATCCTGAGAGGGTGATCAGGTGTTACATTTTTTTTTTTTCTATTTTATCTCGTTGTATTATTTTTAATCTTAAATATCATGTACATACTGTATGCTGCACGTTTGCTCAAAGGTTTTCGGGTTCTGTTCATCTTGTATTTGGTGACAAATTGTTAAATCCCTTTTAGCGGCACCCTGTGTATGAAAAGTGTCATACAAAAAGATCTGTATTATTAGTTATATATAATTATATATATATATATATATGTTCCCTTCAAATTCCCAGTTACTGCGAGGTTCAGTGTACAGAGGGTGTTGTTTGCTTAAAACACTGTAAAACACCAGGAGACTGATGCAGAATTTGTGATGTTTTAAGTTTAAGGGCCTTGACCGAATCAGTCATGTTGCATGGAAACTAGAGAAGTGTAAGTGTAATTATAAGTGAGATGGCTGATGCTTAGGAGAAGACGACGAAGCATGGTGTTGCAGGTTTGATTGTGCTTTCTTGCGGGACAAGGGTGAGAGTTTGCGGGACCACGGAGGGGTTGTAAGAGCTTCATTACTGAGAGGTGTGCAGGTAGCAGGGAGTCGCAGCAGCGTTGACCTCTGCTGAGCAAGACCTTTGGGAGGAGCTGTTTGAGTGAGAGTTACACGGAGAGAAAGGTTTTAATGAGGCGCTGAGAGAAAAGAGCTGCGGGAAGTCAAGGTGAGAGGGCGGGGCGGAGACAGATGTTCTCCATCGGAGCAGAGTCATGTTTATGAGTCATCATTGAGGGTCAGCACATCACTCTGCCCGGGGGTAGCCTTACTAATCTGTAAAGTGCATGGGGGAGCATGCACAGCGACAAGCGTACAGGAAGACAGGAACCTCTGGCACATGAGGAATGACGGTTATGACTTGCAGTGTAAATACAAGCTATATATGTTCACTTGAATATATTAGCAAGGACTGCAAGATTTTGAAAGAATAACTTTTTATTTTATAGATTATAAAGTTATATATATTATTATATATATTATATATTGAGTGACATTGTGATTGCAACTTGATATGCAGTATTAGGGAATAAATCAATATTAAACACGTTCTTATAAAACATATATTTTGAGGATAATAGTTTTGTTTTTAAAAGGATCCGTACCAAATACATTTGTTTTATTAAGTCTGTCAAACACAGTCCAACTTTAAACCTCTCCAGTTTATGTATTCTAAAATTATTCAATATTTAATCCACTGTTGTATCTTTTTTTATCTTATTTGACATCTTTCTATAAAACGTATTTATGGATTACAACTGAAAACATTTCAATTATTTGTATTGCGATTTGACACTTTGTTTTTGATTCAGTAGCATGCATCAAATATGTTTGTATAGTGTCAGCTCAATGTGAGCCACACGGCAATTTATTAAATTGCCTTAAATTAAATCAATAACTATTCATAACTTTGTATTTTATACCCGTCTTTTTCTTATTAAGTGTAATCTGAATGCTTTTATGTGCTGAATCATATGCATAACAATTGTTGGAAGACTTTTTTTTACCCCTATTACAACTGATGGAGCGCATCAAATCGCAGATTAATAAAATCAATATTGCATCTGCGGCATATGTACATCGATTTAGCACACTGGATCGCCATTATCAACGGTGTGTGTGATTGTATACGGCTTATAGAGATGTGGAGAAGGGAGCAGGGATTCACCCTGAAAGAAAAGAAGCTCCACCAGCAGAATACAGACGGTGAAGAAGAGGAAATAAAGCAGGTAGAGGAGGAAGAAGCCGTGAGACGTTTAAAAGACAAGCTGTAAGTGAGAGTGGGAGCTCGTCAGGGGAATAGAGTCAGGACTCCACGCTGAAGCAGAGCTGCAGTCATGGGCCGCTGCTTTTCTTATTACACACTTAAAACTGTCTGTCAGTCCGTCTCAGGAACTTTAAGAGACTTGTGTTAAAAGCCCAACTGAGCTTCCATGTCCTAAAAGCACACACCTTTACCGATTGTCTTATTAACAAGAAACCAGTTCAAACTCTTCCTCCCCTAACTTTATATCATTCTACTCACAGAAACAGAGAGCGCTCTCTAAACGTGTCCTGATTGCTTCATTGTGGCGGGAGCCGTCACACATGGATTCATTCTCAATAAAAAAAATGTTTCTCTAAATCCGTCTCCAGTGACCGTTTGTGATTACACTCTGCTCCCCCGCTCAATACACAAATAAACGCCTACATGACTTCTGCTATGCATTGGCAGCATATTTTTTCATTCTACTGTGGTTCTGACCAAAGAAACACATACACAAGTTTCCCCCCCCCCCACCCCGTACCCTCCCCGGTGAATGCTTAGAAGAGTCAATGTGCTGACAGAAGCAGTTTTAAATGTGGCTTTTGTTAAGGAAGTAAATTATTAAAAAGCAGGTGGGTAGTTGAGGCTGATGGGAATTTCCAGGGTCCCATGAGTGTTGCAGTATTTGTATTAAATACAGCTATTATCACGTGTCACACAGATCTAGAAAGTGTGGTATTAGTAAGAATGTGCATTGGAGCTTTTTTACATGCTGTCATTATGTGAGATAATGTCCTGCATATGAATATAGAAAAGTGACAGTTGCCTTAAAGGGACAGTACCCCCAAAAAATCTAAAATACATATTTTTCCTTATATACCGGATTTAGATGAGATATTTGCAACATTTGTTAAGAATTTTGAATTGCCTTGCGTTGTAATGTGCTATAAAAAATGGCCTTGCCTTACTATACACATTAATCTGAAGGAAAACAACCCTTTAGGCTACAATGACCAGAAACATGCTCAAACACCCTTCAAAACCCAATATACCAGGTAGAAAGTACTACTTCTACATATTTCTCTGCCTACCTTCACTTCTATTTATTAATCTAGATCGATTTAATTGTTTATTTGGAGATTGCAGAAGAGAGTTCTGCTTTCTCTCCAGTATTATGGATGAGATTACAATATAACATCTCATCAGGTTTCTCAAGATAATTCACATACTACAGTATGTAGATCAATAAAAGCCAAACTACCCTTTAGGGCCTTAGAATGAGCAAAAACATGTCCCCCACACTGGGACAATCAACAAAAGCTAAAACAACAGCAGCGCAGATTACAAGTCAGAGGAGATGGAAATGTGAGTCTCTAAAGGCTTAATGGAACAAATCCAGTTTAAAAGTCAGTATTTTGCACTCTAAGCAAAGTGTTTGAATACTGACGGGAGTTCAGGATTGCTGGGGGCTTGATTACATTTGTGCAGAAGCTTTGGTTAGGTCAGTGTTTTACGCCATGGAAAGACACTACAGTAGGTGGAACATGTGGATATTAAAAAGGAGTCAGAAATATATAAACAGATGCATCTGTCGGCTCTGGATCACAGGTTCATGGAGGCTGTTGATGTTAAAAGGATGCTTTTGATTTGAAATATTACAGAGATCAAATATTTCCACTTTTACATCACTTCTGAGCACAGCGTGTCAGGATGTTGGCAGTAATTGCTGTGACTTTTATGTTCCACTTCAAAGGTCATTACAACACACAACCTCAGGTCATGTGGCAGCGTCCATTCCACTTCCTCTCCACGCTGATCCGCCCAAATGTTTCCACAGTTTTTCACTCGCGGCACTAATTAAACCCGTTTTATTTACTCCCTTCAGAGATGCCTCACCAGTCTGAATATTAACCACCGTTCACTGAGCTGAACTGAACCGAAGAACAACACGCAGGTTTCCTTCTGATGAAAGTCAAATGGCCTCTCCTGCCGCAGCGCTAACAGAGACACGACACGATCAGGCGTGATTCCTCACCGATATCAAAGTGTGTGAACTGTGGGAGCACCGTCTAAAAATGAGCAAACACTTCCTCTGACTGAATACATTAACACATGGTTCTTTGACTTTTAGCATGTTGTTAGCAACTTAAATACCAAATTGTAAGATTTCAAAACTGTATCTACAGTATAAGCCTACATGTTATCATCAATAAATATCCCAAAGAGGATGTTGCATGTAAAAAAAGTCAGTAAACTGGCACACTGTTGACATAATTGATGCCATGCAGGATGAAGAAAACGTTAATCTCCTGTCAGTTACAACAAAGACGAATAATGGTTGATAATCAGTGAGTAAACACAGAGATACTGTCTCAGTTTCCACATGTGAACAACACTGTCAACAATATTCCTGCACTCACAAAGGATGTTATCCTTTTTGGATCACAGGAATCATCCTGTCTGTCATCTGTTTCCACTGAATGACACATTGGAGATATTTTTAAACATTACGGAGATCATCAAGCGTGAAAGGATGATTGATGAGACACTGCTCTTAAAGAGGAAATGAGAATTAAAGTGTGAGAGAGAATAAAGGAGTACGTACTGTAGGGCACACATTCGTACTGGACTTCCAGATATTTGTATGTTCCCGGGCAGGGGTCAGGAAACACGTCTGGTCCGGCCACAACAGCACACTGCGTCCGGTTGTTACATCTGAAACAGAAAGCAGAGAAACATCAGACAGAGTATCAAAGTCAAACATTTTAGAGTAAATGTTCAATTTTGTTAGGGGCCATTTTAAAAGTTGGAATACAAATGGTGTTATTCGCCCACAATAAACATGGAAAGGAAATAGTCTTTACATAAAAGTAAATGTCTTATACTTGGATTCAACTTTGTTCTACAGAAAGCCTCTTTTACAAACTGGGGTCTGTAATTTGAGAGACATTTCCGGGTAAAAGGAAGGTCTGTGATTAAGTTGCGCTGCAAGTAAGAATCTCTACCCTAAAAGTAAAAGTTAGATTTTGTTTAGGGTCGTTTTAAAAGGTCAACTCCATGTTACATTTTCTGGAACACATTGCTACATCTAGTTGAAAGAAACAGCGTCTGACTGATGTGAGATCATTGAAAACACACAGAGAGTAAAGCCTTGTGATTGGAGCACAGGCGTGTGACATGGTTAATGTTCACAGAGGTCACCCCTCTCTTTGGGTGAGGAGACAATCTGCTGTGTAAATTCATCTCTCGGTTGCAGTCCAGAGTTGAAAGTCATGCAACTGAATCCAGGCGTTACTCCGTGTACAGGTCACAGTGTTATTACTGCATGATGGATGGCAGTGATGCTGGTGCAGAGGAGGTGGGTGGGTGGGTGGGGATGAGGTGGGGGCCGCACAATCATCTGAGTGCGAAATCAGCTCCAACGTGAAATGTAGGTCTTCATTAAAAAACACAATTATGGTGCCGGTGCTGTTTTCGTGTGCCATTTTTCTTTTGGCAGTCATCAATCAGAGCCTCACTTCATATGCACGGAGAGAATCTCGCCACGCATAATGACAATGCTTATCTCACAACGGTGACTCTTAAACATAGGGACGAATATCGATCAGACGCTGCATCTGTTTGCAAAAGAAAGGATATGCAAGTGAGCAACTTCCTGCTACAGAGCAGACACCGTGAATCAACTACTGACTGCAATTATCGTGCAATGTATAAAAGGTATTTATTCCTCAGCATGGCGGGTCACACTGTAAGTCCGCTGAAGGTCAAGGCGGGGTCTGACACAATGATTCATAGGGCACGATTAAAGGATCCTCTGCACCTTAATTAACATTGATTGGCTGCCGACTAATCAATCGCACCAGTGAGGGACAAGGGAAAAAAAAGAGCCATCTCGTTTCAGGCCGACACTGTAATGAGATATGGTCGAGCTTTATAGGTTCATGAACCCCCACCACCAACACATAACCCCCCCCCACTGCAGTCAGCTGTCTGGGGCACATGAACAGTTAATTCCCAGGCAGTCAAATAAATAAGAGGTCAAGCCTATAAAACGGAGAAACAATTAACGAGGCGGCCACCTCACCCCTGCACCTTCCCCCTCCTCCTCCTCACTATCTCTGTTTAAAGGGTGGAGGGGCGTATAATCAGCAGGTGAAAACACAAGTTAAGATTAAGTGTCACATAGAATTAGCAGAGAGATGGATAGACGAGATCGCACAAGGAGGCAGACACAAACCCGTGTTTTTGGGATGGACACATGAATGTAGGATTTGTTCTTTTGGATTGCACCAGAAGTTAAGCTATCTGGATTGTTTTGTCATAGTTTGTAATAACTTCCTCTTGAGGGATTAAACATCATAATGTGTATTTAACGTGGATTGCAAACTAAATCCCAGCCTTAACATCTATCTTGACCCATATTTTAAATCCCTCTAATCGCTGCTGTGCATTTTTACCTCAACACGCAGAGATGCTGCCTGTGGTGGGGAAATAATTAATATTAAATGCAAATCAATAGCAGAGAGGTAGAGGAATCGATAGCAGGAGAAGCTGCACACACACCATGCAACACAAGGTCTACACAATTACCAATTAGAGAGATAATCAGGATTTCATCAGAGATGGAGCCCTTTGAACCAGCAGCCGAGGAAAATGGATCCACTCTTAATGATGTATTTAGAAATGTATGGCACTACGTGATGTACATAGTATGCACTATAGGAGGAAGCATATGGGGAGAAGCTACTGCAGGCTGAATGCTCTAGAACACTGCTATACACCAAATATCTGTAAAATGGGGAAGGATTACTTCTAGATAAAACCCCCTATCAGAGCTGTGAGTCTAATCGAGGACAAACAACTCAATTTAGCAATTTGGCCACCAAATGCCCTTTTTTTATCTGCAGTCCACTTCCCTTCCCTTCTAGCCTTTACTCCGGTTCCCTGGTCATTTGTTATAACGGGCAGATTAGAGCAGCGGCTGCCAGCTGACGAGGGGAGATGTGGCACAAAGCAGCAGAGCCCCGTGTAAGCACAAACTGTAATGACTATAATCGCCCGCTGATCCGGCTGCTGCCTCTGATGGAGGAGGGCCGAGTCCCCTCAGTCTCCTGGCACACAAAATAAAACACATCAATCAATAGGTAAACAATTGAATCAATAAAACCGCATTCAACATGCACGACAACACTGAACTAACATAAGGAAGAGTAGTATGGGAAATAATACGTCTGAATAATTGGGAGGGACATCTAACATATGGACTTTACTCAGCTCCGAATATAAAGTGTGGGTAATGTCTGATTCTGCCAAAGGGTAAATAAAGCTGCTCATTGTGCGGAGAATTCAAGTGAAAGGGCGTGTTGATGATGTTACTAAAGAAGCAGAAATTGTTAAAAAAATAGTCAAAAGAAATGTATCATTCCACCATCTTTCAAAAATTGAAGTGAAGAAGAAGACAAAGAAGAAGTTTGTCTGTTAGAGCCTTCTCTGAAATCCTCAGAAAAATTTAATGAATAGCAAAAGACTTGTTCAAACCGAAGTAAAATCCGTCATGTGGTGCCTCCTGCACACTCCACCCGTTGACCGAACCAAACACAGTATTTCCAGAAAGGGAGAACAGAACATCTGCTGTTTTGTGCCACATGTGTGAAAGGGAATCTCCGGATATTGTTTAAGAAATGACAGAGCAGCTACTGTCAGGGCTGGAAATATTCGTCCACATTGGAGAGTAATGAAAGAGCAGACACTTGTTCTTCTTATATAGGATGTTATATATGTGTTACGGGAGTGTTTGATGAAACAGACAAAGTGCCCCACCTCGCCTTTTCTTTTTATTCTTGTGCAAGAAAATGCACAAGGTGTGCAGTGCAAACAGAATGTGTGTTGCTATTGTTTGCTCTGCGTGTACCAAGCATTGTGTGTCTTGTGAGAGTTTCTATTTGTAGGAGAGTGAAGGGAGGGGGTGGGGAGTGACTGACGGGTCAATATCCCGTCTCTCTGCTGGGACCCATTACGCTTTAGTGATGGTCTTCGCCACCCACGCTCGACTTCATTCATTATCTTTCCCAGCTGCACGCCGCCGCATCCATCTTCCCTCATTCAGCCTGTCTGCTGCCGCTGCACAAAAACAACCTCTAAAAACTCCACCAAAAACCTACAGAAACGTTATGAGGACAAGGGGAGCCATGGCCTTGAGCGCTGTGCATTGACTGTGGAGTAAAACGAGGAAGTATTTAAAGGAAACTGTTGAGTGTGTGTAGTGTCGATCAGAAGACGGATTATCAGTCTCTGTGGAGCCCGCTACAGAGGAGGAGATGGATAAGGTTTTCTGTTGCTATGGAATAATGGATCGTTGATTTGTTTCAATTATTTAGAGCTGGTTCAAAGATACCTCATCAACAAACTGTAACACCGTGCCAATGCTAAGGGCTGCTTCGACTCAGCAGGGTTAGGTGTATGTGATATAATTCAGTAAAACACAATGATTATGTATTTTTAACTAATCTGCTTCAGTGCTGTTAACCACTAATCAAGTGGTATTTCAAGTAAGATAATTACTGCAAACACAATGTTTTAATTAATGTTTTGTTGGTTTTCACAACAGCTGGACAAAGCTAAAAATGTCTCTATGCCATCTATCACATGTACTGAAGCAAAGAAGCCTTTCGCATTGCATTTGGGAATTCAGGGTACAAAATCGACAAAACAACATTCACAGAATTACCTTTGTAGAATCAACTTGTACAACTGTCAAACTCTTAACAAAGAAAAAAAGATTGCACATTTACAGAAATGTTTGACTCTTTTTGGTTATGTTTGGCCTGTGATTTAAAGCACGAACAACATAAACAACATGAATATATCAGTCATCCCAGAATAAATCCTGCCAAATCCTCCTAGAATTATATAATCTGACATCTATCTGAGAATTATGACAGAGAGAAGCATGTGAGAAGTTATGAAAAAGCTTCACCAGCTAATCCCCTTTTATAAACGTGCACATATTAGCTGTCTTGCAATGATCGTACTGACAGCTCCATACATCCCATAATAACACATGCTGTATATTATTATGTATCTCGTTTACTTAACACACAGGCATGCAATTGGTAAGAAACAACATTTTAACCCCAAAGGTTGTATAGGAGTGCACATAATTGTTAGATACGTCTTCAAACAACCTACACACCACCTATACATGTATACACACCGACAAATTATCTATAATGGGACCGCTGCATGCACACAGTGAATGATGTTATTATGGTAAAGCTGCAGAGTTACTTTCCAAACACCAGAAGCGCAGATTAAAGGCAGCAGAGGAAGATGGGAGTGGATGTATACATCATAAATACAAAGGCTGAGAGTGGGAGTGGGATTTAAAGTGCCGTCGCTGGAGGGGCTCAATGTTCTCGAGTGCTTAACTTCACAAACACACGCGTGCACCTACATGTTCACAAAGATTGATCAGTGTGAAGACTCGCTGGGCGACATTAGCAGCACAGCTCTGTCTCTTTGTGTACAAACATATAGGTGACACAACATTGGCCATCTTTCTGTTTTATAGGATTAACCATGTGGAACTAAGCAGAAGTGAATAAAGTGCCAAGTGGCTGTTAGAGGAGATGTCCACAAGCTATATGGATGACCTTTATTAAGTATGTGGCATGTTATGCGTTAGGGATGGTCAAACAACCATCAAGACTGATCAT